TTCTTGTCGTGCTTTTTCGTGAAGAACTCAATTTTCAAATACGGGAAGAGGGCGGAGAATTGATTGCTGAAATCACGCATGCGCATGTCTTTGGAAACTTTGAGCGGTTGTATTTTGGTTTTCATTGTTAAATGTTTTGAGTCGATTCTGTTGTGGAATAAGTCGAATTACTGTAGTAATATCGGTTTCGATAGAGATCAGGCGGAAAGCCCAACGAAATCAATGCTTGAAAAACTCTGTCAGCATTGTATCCTGAGAATGCCTCGAAAGAAACTTTATTGATGTTTTTAGAGACAACGACTCCGCGAATTCCTGGTAAGTTTTCCAGGGTTTGGATGATGTCTTCCACGGTTTTACCGAGGTTTAACTTTTGAATCGCTATGACCACTTTATCCATGACTGAAACGTTTTACTTTTCCTCTAAATTAGCGAGGGAGCCCAGTAAAAAACATGATGAATGTCAGTCGTGAAAATGATAGTAATCAGTCGGGTCGAGAGACTAGCTGATGTGGGTTTTGATCGCTTTGGCTGAGGCTTTTAGTTGCTCCAGTTCGCTTTCAGTGGGCGTGATGGAGTCAATGATGTCGGCACCGTTTCGGTTAACTGTACATAACCAACTAATGGCAATGTTTTCTGTTTCCAATAGTTGTTCAAGATAGGTGTCGGCAACACGAGAAACGGAAATTCGAAGTTCGCGATGATTCAGAATGGTATACATGATCCGGAGCGCACATTGAATAACGCCAAACATGGTGGCTCCGGCTGTTTTTTTGATCAATGCTGCGGATTGAAGCATTTCCTGAAAACAATCCTCAATCTCACGATCGGTTAGCACATCACGTAATGATTGATCGTCAACCGTTGAAAGTGATTCGATTAATACGGCAGACTTTCCATGTTCACCAAATACCTGTGTTTCAACGGTGCATCTCGGGTTATTCAGCTGATTGAAAACAATTTGATTCAATCGGGCAGAATCGAGCAAAGTTCCTGTTCCAATGACTTGATTAGCTGGTAGCTTGGAATACTTCTGCGCATAATAGGTAATGACATCCAATGGGTTGGTCATGACAATAACGATAGCATCTCGTTGGAATTCGTATGACGAGAAGATGGATTCCGTAATTTCCTTGTTCTGTCGGGCGGTATCGAGTCGATCACCTCCTGGAATTACACCATCTCCGGCACAATGAAAAATGAATCTGGACTGTTCCACCAACAGTTTATGATTCAAGGTAAGCGTGTGTAATCCTTCCACCTCGGCAGCATGCTGAAGATCCAGGTAGCTTCCGAAAACTTCTTCCGAAGGATCAACGATATTGATATTCCAGCATCGGTCGCGTTCCTGCAAAAGCATCGAAACGAGTGTTCTTCCTACATTACCAAGACCGAAAACTGTGATGTTCATATACGTTATTTAATGGCTGCCAAACCATCCTGATCAAGAATGGTAATGTTGCTGGCCTTAATTTCAATGAGTTGTTCTGATTTGAAATCCGAAAGTACACGGATCACGGATTCTGTTGATGTTCCGGCAATACTCGCCAAACTATCTCTTGGGATAGAAATAGAGAAACGATCACTATCAGATGTTTCTTCGTAACGATCGCGCAATAGTAAAAGTCCATCGGCAACACGCTTTCTCACGGTGTTGTATGCGAGGTCAAGTAATTCCTGT